CCCATTACCGTTACCGCCGGCATCGTTGTGCGCGCCAGTGCCAGCTTCCGCGCCTCCTGGCTTGCCGTCGCCCTGATCTGAGCCCGAGAAAGGCCCTTCCCCTTCCGCCCCTTCCGCCCCTTCCGCCCTTTCCGCCCTTTCCATGTCCGTCACCGCCGTTTGCGCCCCTTCAAGAGCCGACGCATCCATGCTCTCCCCCTCCCCTGCTCCCTTCGCGTCACACTCACCCTCCCCTTCCGCGGCCCAGTCCGCGCGCACGTCCAGGGGCGGGAGCAGCCCGCCGGGGGAAGAGACGGGGAGAGGCGGCGGGAGGGAGGGTATGGGGAAGGAGGAGAAGCCGAAAGGGTAGCTTCCGCCAAGCGCGCAAGGGGCAGGCGGGACAGCGCGGCTGGGTACGAAACTCGCTAGGACCTGCTGCTCCCGCCTTTGCTGCTGTTGCTGTGGCCGCGGCGGCGGCGGCGGAAGCGGCTGCTGCTGCTGCTGTTGCTGCTGCTGCCACTGCCGTTTCCTCTGGTGCTCTTGCTGTTGGTGCTGCTGCTGCTGCCGCAGCGACACGAGCAGCCCCGAGTGCCATCGCCCGTCCGCCGCCGTCCCCGCTCTCAGCGCCATTCCGTATTGCCCACTACCCCCTTCTCCACCATCTCCTACTACTCCAGTCCCATTCGTGCCTTTACCCTCCGCTCCTCCCGCTCCTCCTGCTCTGCCTGCTTCCTCAACCTCCCCTCTCCGCCCCCCCTCCTGCTTCGCTGCCCCTTGTCCCTCTGCCGCCCCTATCATCGTGGTACCCGCCACTCCCGCTGCCGCTACCGCCACTCCCGCTGCTGCTGGCACGGGCGTGTTGTTGTCGCCGCACGCCCCGCTCGTCGCGGCGAGAATCGCGGAGTTCAGGTTCTTCTGAGGGAGGGTCTGGGTAGCCGCGTCCGCGGTGGCCGAGGGAGTGGGGGGGGCCCATGGGGGCGGCATGGCGGGGCGAGGAGCGGAGGGGGACGCGGGGAAGAGCGAAGCGTCGTCGAGAGTGAAGCACGTGGCGGGATCGTCCATGGCGGCGCGGATCCCGCGGCACTTAGGGTTTCGCCCAGGGGCGGCGCTCCACGGCAGGTGCTCGCCACTCTCGCCGCTGCACTTTCCCCTCTCCGTGCTTCGTCGCCGTCAGAGATTCGACGACGTCGGTAATCCGTCGGCGATAACTCAAGTAACTACCAGTAATGTCCGGCGTCGCAACGATACATCATCGCTCGTGGGAGCGACCGCCGAGTCCGGCTAAGAAAAGCAGCGTCGTACAACTACCGTGCACGATTTGTACAGCAGCAGCGGCCGGGCCGTTATAGTGCTGTCCTAACAGCCCTAAACACGATATCGCAAAAACTGTATAAATTATACCACATGTGACGAAGAATGCCGGTAAGTGGACGAGAGTCGAGACGCAGACCACCTCGATCTTCGAATTGTCTCGAATGCCTCGTCCTGACGTGACCTATAAACGACTGAGTCGAGTCGCAGGAGGCTCACATCTAAGAGCGTGTCCAAAGTGCAGTTCTGTCATCCGCTGTTACCCGATGACAGAATGAATTGTAGCCTTTGTCATCCGTCCGTACGGCAATCAACGGACGAGACTCGTTCTGTCATCCGCTGTCATAACACTTTGGACACGTTCTAATAATCCCTGCTCTCGACGCTACGCTTCAATCAATCGACAACTGCGAGTCGGAAACCGCACGTATCGCTGGGCGGACACCTCTCCAGAAAGACTCTAGAGCTCATGCTGCGGCAACGGAGTAAAAAAGTTAGCGGTGGAGAAACAGGGTCGTTGTTGGGGCGAGCTCAAGGCAAGGAGGGTCGACAAGTGGAGCTGGTAGGAGTGAGGCGCAACAGCAAGCCCTCCAGCTCACCCCTTTTTGCTCCGAAGCCTCAGGCACACGTTGAAGGATCTCTCATCTCAATTCCCCGAAAATGTGGTGGTGTGATGTGACAAGAAGTACTGTAGGCTGTTCACCTTGCCCAAGCAATTTTGTTGGATTCATGATCACTTTTTGGGGGATTTTCCTAGACTGTCACCACTCTGTACCGCGCGTTATTTTGTCTGCAACCTACCGAGGCTGTTTTCCACCGCCCTAAAAGTTCGAACTGGAGGCTTGCTCGAACCCTGACTCACACGCCCTTACTGGAACTCCATTTTAGTGAAAGCAAAGCAGCATCTGGGAAAGAATGTGGGGCCTGGAACCACCGCTCTGTGTTCCGCTGCACCGCGGAGATTGCAGTCTGCCGTGATGGACCACACGATATTGATAATGTTATCACGTATGAATGGACACAACCCTCAGTAGAACTGGTTTACGTACGTGTAACATTTTCGATGTGTTTTGGGGCACCCAGCCAGATACGAGCGGGGGCGGAGGTTTACCCTGCCTTGCAGGGTAAGGTACCGCTTCTTGTCAAGAAAAACAGGTTAGATTAGAATGATATTCCGGTAGAAAACGGCAACTGGGCAGAGTTGAGCATTAAAGCTACCCTCCATGACTCTGTGTAGACTCGAACTTCAGCAGTTTAGACCCATCTAGGGCTAGCAGCAGTACAGCTCAACTACGACAAGCTGAAATTGTGCTAGCAAACTCAGGAAAGCACAGGATGTCAGGGACACTAGAGTCTGATTCAGCCTGGTGCATTTATGGTATTGTCTGCATCCGACAGGGTGTTACCAGCCCCGAACCTTTTCTTGCAGTGTGACCTTCAAAAGTCACTCTGAAAAACAGGCGAAACAGGGAAAAACTACCCCGACTTCCAGAGGTGTCGTAACAGAGTGCACGCGCACTACAATACACACCCCCTGAAAAAGGACGGTCCTCGCGTGGAGTAGGGTACAGTCGATGCTCACCCAATCTCGTACGCAGCGTCTATCCCAATCAGAATCACTTCCCAAAACATCGGATTTAGCTGCAATGGGATAACGCACACAATCACAACTATGCTACCGAATCCACCACATATTGATGGAGGGCGGAAAAAAACGACCACACAATTGCCCGTTGGGACCTCTGTTTATTGACCAGACACAAATATCTTGTTACAAATACCACATTTCTGTCCCATTTACCCGTGGCGAAGCATGCGAAAGGACGAGCTCGACATTGCCCCCACGACATGGTAAATTTTTTCGACACTCGCGCTCTTCGACTGTATCTACAGTGGAAAGATTTGACCTGCTTGTGTGGCTGGCTGGGCGAGCGCTACGACGGGTGCTGCTCAGGCCTCTCGCTAAGCCCCAGGATATTCTGGAAGGGAACAGAATCGCCTCTGAATTACCCGTCAGCAGACGGAATGCCCCCAAAAAAACCCGTAAGGAATCGGCCGCTACAGATTCGGCTAGCAAGGAAGGCCGCAGGAGAGGGGGGGGGGAGGGGGGGTGTTAAGGGGTGAGGAGAGGAGGGGAGGTGAGGCTGCGGTGAAGGGGTTCGCTCCCCCCTAAAGATTGCCCTACTACAAGTATAGCCCGTACGGATTCAAGAAAAAGGTACTCGTTAGGCTAAGGAATCGCGCGAAATTGTTTCCGTAAGTTGGACAGATTCGGAGAAATCTCGCACCGTAAAAAAGCGGAATCACAGGAGACGTTACTCTAAATTTCTTGCAACTAAGGGTAATTACTCTAACAGCGAGAGACTTGGTGCTGCTCACTGCTCCCCCTCAATTCCGGTGGGCCAACACTGTACAATGGACCTTTTCCCATCTTTGTAGTACACCCAGATCCGTGCCAGGTAGGACGTCCAATCCCGAGTCCTCCTGACCTTCGTATGGAAATCATCAACGCGCCTACGTGTCGTAGTGATGATTCGACAATTATGGCCCGAATCTCCATCATCTTCTTGTGGATGTGCTGAATTTCCGCGTTCGACTCGAGAAGGCCTCCAGCGCCACTAGATGTACATCTTCGCGCGTGTGACTCGAGGTTCAATAGGCGCAGTCATGATGGCCTCCTGTCTAGCCAGCGAATATGACGTGGAGCTGACGGGGGGACAATTCAGCCAGGGGGGTACGTGTCAATAAGCCAACGAAAGTGTCTGCGCGTTAGAGCGTGTCCAGAGTGGGATGTCAACGGATGTCGACGAACCTCCCCGACATCTGTATGCGGTGCTTTTCGTATCTCAAAGGTGGTACGAATTCATTCCAATTCGGTGCCTACACCACAATTTTGTCAACGGATGTCCATGCGCACTTTGCACACGCACTTAGAGCGTGTCCCAACCGTACGTTTCTTGCTCAAAACCCTATCCAACCGTTTCAAATCTCGATTATTACCTTGGGCTTTGTGAAAAATCTCACCCAGCCGCAATCAAATGTACGCACGGGACTCTCCAACAGTTGTTCTGTGCAAGACGTCTCATGAGGTGTACATCTGCTTTGGGCTTCTAGGGTGCGTGCAAGCGCGTGGTCCAAGAACGATAAAGGCTCAGGGTCTTTGATTCTTGGTCGCTCACGAAACCCAACCTGAGTATACACGGTTACCCTTAAATTCAGCGACGAGGGGTAAACCTTGAACGACAAGAAGTGATTGGTCGAAGCCCCAACTACCGCTGGGGTGCGATTGAGAGAGTCATACCTGCAACCGGCAACGACAGGAGGGTGGATCAAGACTCAAAGTGCCTAGGACTTACTTGGGACTCATGACCAGGGCGGCCGTAGCGTAGGAGAAAGACGGCCTAACTGACTATCAACAGCCCATGCAGTCTCATTTTTTACCTTAAAGCTGGTGGCCCAAAACGTGCAAGATTAATCAACATGACCAAGCAAAAAGTGGAGTCTGGCAGCAAGGGGTGTTATGCTGTGGTGCGAGGTGACGAGTGTACTTCGCCAACGAGCGAACGATGCAACACCAAATTGCGACAAGTATATATATGACGAAATAGCATATACCAATCAGGGCGGCAAAAAATCGAACAAGCAAAAACTCCGCCAATCAAAAAGGACAGAAGGGAAGGGTTGGGGCGGAAAAAGTGAAGGAGGGGCGTGCTAGGCGGGGGGGGGGGAGTGTCAACTTATACATACATTTGCATGTAGAAGTTATAGGCTAGAATAGGTGTGTGTTCTTAGATAGTACCACCCAAACCCAATATCTCCATTGTACTCTCTTCTTGCTAATTATTCTAGTATTCTAACATGGTATAATGAATAGGTTAGGTCCACCCACCCGCTTCCGCCCCATGCCCTAACCTACCGCGCCTCGCTGGCCCCTAGTGCGTCCCCCGGCCCCTAGCGTGCCCGCCGTCCCCTCGCGCCTAGCCGGCCCCTCGCGCCCAGCAGGCCCCTCTCGCGCCTAGCCGGCCCCTCGCGCCTAGCCGGCCCCTTCGCGTCCAGCCGGCCCCTCTCGCGCCGTAGCCGGCCCCTCGCGCCATAGCTGGCCTCTCGCGTCTCGTTGGCCCCTTGCGCCCAGCCGGCCCCTCTCGCGCCTAGCCGGCCCCTCGCGCCGTAGCCGGCCCCTCGCGCCTAGTCGGCCCCTCCGCGCCCGACCGGCCCCTCTCGAGCCCTAACCGACCCCTCGCGCTTAGCCGGCCCCTCTTACGCCGCAGCCGGCCCCTCGCGCCTAGCCGGCCTCTCACGCTTAACCGGCCCCTCTCGCGCAGCAGCCGGCCACTCGCGCCTAGCCAGCCCTTAGCCAACCCTTCGCACCTAACCGGCCCCTTGCGCGTAGCCGGCCCGTTGCGCCTAGTCGGCCCCTCTCACCCAGTCGGCCCCTCGCGCCTAGCCGGCCCCTACTGCCTAGCCGGCCTCTCCTGCACACCGCCGGCCTCACGCGCCTTGCCGGCCCCTCTCTATGCGCTGGCCCTTACCGCGCCTGGTCGGCCTCTCCTGCGCCTGGCCGCCCCCTCGTGCGCCTCGGCCCTCTTGCGCCCTCCTCGGCCTTCCGGCCGGTCTACGTTCGGGAGAGTCCTGCCGCCACGCCGTTGCACCGCCGTGCAGCTGGGTACCCGTGTCTCTGTGCCGCTGTGCCGCTGTGTCCCGGTGCCACTGAGGTTGCGCGATGGCGGACGCCATGCTCCGCCTGGACGCGGAGGGGCACACGATCGACTTCGCCGCCTGGCTTGTCGATCTTCGCCGGCACCTGAAAGGTCAGCGCCAGGATGGGCAATCCCTGGCTATGCATGTTGATGGCTTGCTTCCCCGCCCCCTCGCGCCTGATCCCCTCCCTGCTGACCCCACCACTACTGAGAGTGAGGCCTTTGCTGCTGCTTCGCTCGATCGCGCTGTCTGCGATTCTCGCGATGCTGTAGCGTAGCTTGCCATTAGTCATGCACTTTCCCTATCTGAGCGTCCCCGCTTCTCTCCTGTAGCAAATGCCAAAGACTTCCTAGATGCAGTAGTTGCACGCTACTCCACGCATGCCTCCGCCTCAGCTGGATGCTTGATCCTCCCCATGCTCTTCCCCGATCTCTCTGCTTTCCCGACTGTCGCTGATCTTGCCACTCACCTCCGTGCACTAGAGACTAGCTACCGCGCTGCTAGCACTACTGCAAAGCTAGTTGCCTTCCCCCCGCTGTTCTGCGCTACCGTGTACCTTATTGCCATGCTCCTGCCTGACCGCTTAGCCACTGCCTGCAATCACCTCCTTAGCCAGCACCCTGGTGACCTCACCCTGACTGCTTTTGTCACTGCCCTTTCTGAGATAGAGATTCGCCAGCGCACTATCGCTCAGTTGAGCTGTGTTGCGGCAGTCTCCACCATTCAGGGCTGAGCTCCCTCCCAATGCACGTACGCTAACGTGTCCGCCGCGGTCACTACGACTGCTCCTGCCTCTGAGACCACAACTGCGGCCTTCCCGCTGCAGCAGCGACAGCGTCGGGGCCGTCGTGGCCCCAAGGTAGGACGAGGTGGTGGTGCAGGTGGTGGAGGTGGAGGTGGTGGTGGTGGTGGTGGTGGTGGTGGTGGTGGTGGTGGTGGTGGTGGGTGGTGGTGGTGGTGGTGGTGGTGGTGGTGGTGGTGGTGGTGGTGGTGGTGGTGGTGGTGGTGGTGGTGGTGGTGGTGGTGGTGGTGGTGGTGGTGGCGGCGGTGGTGGTGGTGGTGGTGGTGGTGGTGGTGGTGGTGGTGGTGGTGGTGGTGGTGGTGGCGGTGGTGGTGGTGGTGGTGGCGGTGGTGGGGGTGGTGGTGGTGGTGGTGGCGGTGGTGGTGGTGGTGGTGGTGGTGGTGGTGGTGGTGGTGGTGGTGGTGGTGGTGGTGGTGGTGGTGGTGGTGGTGGTGGTGGTGGTGGTGGTGGTGGTGGTAGTGGTGGTGGTGGTGGTGGTGGTGGTGGTGGTGGTGGTGGTGGCGGTGGTGGTGGTGGTGGTGGCGGTGGCGGTGGTGGTGGTGGTGGTGGTGGTGGTGGTGGTGGTGGTGGTGGTGGTGGTGGTGGTGGTGGTGGTGGTGGTGGTGGTGGTGGTGGTGGTGGTGGTGGTGGCGGTGATAGTGGCTCTGACGAGGGGGCTGGGGCAGGTGTCCAGGAGCAGCAGCACCCGCAGACGCAGCAACAGCAGCAGTAGCAACCGCAGCAGCAGCCGTGGGCCCGCCTCCCGCCGGGGTGGCCAAGAGCCCCTAGAGGTGGTGGCCGAGGTGGCGGTCCTCGCAGCTCAGCGTCTACCGGCTGCTTCGGTGCTGTGGGCTGCCAGTACCAGCTCTAGACCGGGCCCTTCGTGGCACTGTGTGCCGCCGCCCGCTGCTTCCGCCACCTCGACGACCTCTTCCGTCGCCGCTTCGGCCCGACCCCGGACCTCCTTGACTGGCCAAGTCTGCTGCGCCACGGTGTGCCTGTTTTTGATTTAGACATGGATCAAATTAGTTCTGCCCTGCATTCTCTCTATGCTGACGCTAATAGTGTGTCTGGATCTTACTACCCTATGCTCGCTAGCTTAGGCGTAGCACCTGTGAGTAGTACAGACTCCCCTGCTCCGTCATGCGTGGGACCGCTTGCTTTCTCTAGCCTATGCTCCACACTCGTTCCTCCTTCGGCTGTCGCTTGTGCTTCGCTGTCCTTCATACTTGACTACGGTGCGTCTGCCTGCTTCTTCGGCGACCACACTACGCTTACACCGCTTGCCGCGCCTGCCGCTGTCCCAATTGCTGACCCCTCCTCTGGTCCTGTAGTTGCTCGAAACTACACTACCCTTCCCTGTCCAGCGGTTCCCTCGGGTTCCCTTACAGGCCTGCACATCCCCTTGTTCTCCCGGAACTTAGTTGGTGTCGGCTCTCCTCAGGACCTCGGCGTCACCTCTACGTTCCCGGGTCTGGAGCGGTATGCGGTCTGTACCAAGGCCACCTCAGGTTACCCCGGGACCAGGTGTCTGGCCTCTTTACGCTGGACACTGCTTCCCCCCCAGTTGGACAGTCCCCCCCGGGTCCTGCCTCTATCCAGGTCGCTGCTGCACGCTCGTGTCGGTCGCTCACTCACCTGTTGCATCTGTGGCCCCACCGCCTAGGTCACCCCGCACTCCCGCGTCTGCGTCACATGTCTCAGCACGGTCTCCTCCTAGGTCTCCCTGCGTCGCATCCTGCCCTCCCTCCCTCGCCTGCGCCGCCGCGCATGCCCTGCGTCGAGGGCCGGCTGCGCCGTGCTCCTCACCCTTCCTTGCTTTGTCCTACCACCGCACCCCTCCAGACCCTGCATCTGGGCTTTTGGGGCCCAGCCCCCGTCCCTGGACCGCGTCGCGAGCGCTACTTTCTAGTGCTCGTGGACGACTATACGTGCTACACCACAATGTTTCCCTTGGAGCGGAAGGTCGACATGCCCGTCATTCTTATCACGCAGGTAGTAGCTGCGCGCCTCCACCGCGGTCTCCCTGTGTTGTGTCTCCACTCCGACCATGGCGGCAAGTTCGCCCCTGATCGGCTTGGACAGTTCTGTCGTGCGGAGGCATCACCCAGCCGTACACCCTTCCGAACTCCCCGCAGCAGAATGGGGTTGCTGAGCGACGCATCAGTTTGGTCATGGAGGTGGCTCGTACCTCGATGATTCATGCCGGTGCAGCCCATTTTCTGTGGCCGTTCGCCATTCGCTGCGCCGCTCACCAGCTTAACCTCGGGTCGCGTTCCCACCGGCCGCAGGTTTCGCCGACCCTTCTTTGGACCAGGTTCCCTGGTGACACATCTGCATTCCACGTCTGGTGATGCCTCGCTCACGTTCGTGCCTCTAGCACGGACAAGCTCACTACCTGCACTGTCCCCTGTGTCTTCCTCGGTTTCCCTCTTGACTCGTCCAACTGGCACTTCTACCACCCGCCGTCTCACCGCTTCTTTCACTCACGTGACGCTATTTTTGACGAGTCTCTCTCCTTTTACCACCGCTTTCCCCACCGAGGTCTCCGGGTTTCCCCGACCAAATTTCTTGTTCCCTCTCCCTCGGTAGCCCCCGCTCCCCTCCCTCCCTGTCCTGCTCCATGTGGTGTGTCTCACGTCACTCCCGTCGGTTGTCCCGGTCGAGGAGTCGGCTGACTGTGGTGGCCCCGCAACGCAGTTCTCGCCGGCTGTCTCTCGCTCAGCGTCTCCTCCTCCACCACCATAGTCGCCGCCGTTACTGCAGCCATCGCCGTTACAGCAGCCGCTGGCGTCGCAGCAGCCGCAGCCGTTCGTGGACTCTGGGGGTGCTGGCGTTGAGGAGGGTGCTAGTCCCGGGGTTCCTGTCATGGCTTGTTTCGGTGGGCTCGAGGGTGGCACCGGTGCTGGAGAGGCATCACGCTCTGGGGTGCTCCTTCTCGGGGTGCTGGAGTGGAGTGTTCCGGAGGTGGCCGCAGTGCTGCTGGTGATCCAGGTGTCGGCGCAGCAGTCGACACCGGTGTCCGCCCTTTGCCTACTCGACCTTCCCTCCCGTGACCCCTTGCCTGCACCTCCCCTACCGTCTCCTCCCCTTTCTGGCCACGGTCCTGTGTTTCCTCTGCCGGACTCAACCCCGGCTCGTTTTCCACCGCGTTTCCCTCCTGTTACTCCTCCTTTGTCTCCTGACCCGACACCTCCGTCTCACCTCTGGTCTCACCGTCCCTCTTGTGCTCGTCCTATCTCTCCTGTTCAGCGTTCTCTCCCTATGTTGCTTCGTTCACATGCGTCTCATCCTTCCCTCCTGCCTTCGCCTCCTCCGTCATCGCTTGCTGTCGCGCCTCCCCCTCTGTCTGACTACCTTCGTGCCACTCGTCCTCTTGTTCCTTAGGTCCTTGCCTCACTGGTTACCGACCCGTCTGTTCCTCTCTCGAGTCTTGACGCGCTTGTCGCTACTGTCGCTGACTTTGCCCCTACCTGCCGCCTTGACTACGCCACCGCTCTGGTCTCTGACACTGTCCGTCCTCTATCCGTGGGGGGTGCTCCTGCCCTTGGCAATGACGTCTTGGAGGACAGGCAGTACGAGCTTGCTTTCCTATCCGAGGCTGCTCCCCATCTCTGTTCCATGCTGCTAGTCCCTGAGGGTGACCCAGACGCCTTTCACATCCCGACCCCTAGTACTTACGCTGAGGCGACCTCGGGACCCTGGGCCTCTCAGTGGATAGCTGCCATGGAGCAGGAGATGGCATCTTGGAGATCCACCGGCACCTACATCGATGCAGTTCCCTAAACCCTAAACTTCTTTCAGACCTTCGCCCCTACCCCAAAGATGACTACTCTTCGGGCACTGCTACACGTAGCAGCACAGCGTGACTATGAGCTCCACTCCCTCGACTTCTCCACAGCTTTCCTCCAAGGCAGTCTACATGAGCAGGTCTACCTGCGCCGCCCGCAGGGCTTCTCCGATACCTTCCCCTCTGGTACCGAGTGGCTCCTGCGGCGCCCCGTCTACGGCCTGCGACAGGCGCCCCGTGAGTGGCACAACTCGTTGCGTGCTACACTTGCTGACATGTAGCTCTTCCCGTTGTCTGCACAGCCCTCGTTCTTCGTCCGTTCTGGCCAGACCCCGTTCTACATCCTTTTTCACGTAGACGACTTGGTCTTGGCTACTGCAGACAGAGACGCGCTGGCCTCCGTGAAGGCCGAGCTGCTGAGGAGACACACCTGCACTGACCTAGGAGAGCTGTGCCGCAACCTTGGCTTGCAGATCTCCAGGGACACAGCAGAGCGCACCATCACTCTCACACAGTCACACTTGGTGCGCCATGTCCTTCAGAGGTTCGGTCTTCAGTTCTCCTCCGCACAGCCCACACCTCTGCCAGTAGATCACAAGCTCTCTGCTCCGAATCTTGAGGAGTCAGTAGAGCCCAATGGTTCTTACGCAGAGCTGGTGGGTTGCCTCATGTACCTGATGACTTGCGCTCATCCAGATCTCGCATAGCCTCTCAGCATCTTGGCTCGCTTTGTGGCCGCAAGCAGACACCAACCGTAGCACTGGTCGGCCGCTAAGAAGGTTTTGCGTTATCTAGCAAGTACATCAGGCATGGGGCTAGTGCTGGGAGGACGCAGTCCAATGGTCCATATTGGGCACACAGACGCTTCTTGGGCAGACGACGGTGAGACCCTCAGGTCCTCCCAGGGCTACCGCTTTAGCCTTGGTTCAGGTACCATCTCGAGGAGGTCCACTTGCTTGTCATCTGCTGCCCAGTCTAGCTGTGAGGCTGAGATCTGCGCCGGTGCCATGGCGGCACAAGAGCTCCGCTGGCTGACCTTTTTGCTCACCGACTTAGGTGAGCGGCCTAGCTCTGCCCTGGTTCTGTACGCTGACAACAAGGCCATGATCCTCCTGTGTCAGGAGCCTCAACTTGAGGGCAAAGCGAAGCACATCCAGCTGCAGCGTCGCCAGGCCCGCGTTGTACACTTGGCCTCCGGTGCCAGCACAGCTGATATCTTTACGAAGGGACTTGCGCCTAGAGATCATCAGCGGCACAGTTTGCAGCTTCGTCTAGTTCCTGTAGACTCTCACTCGCTAGGACCTTGATTGTGTACTCCTCAGATATATCTTTCAGACCGGCCTTGTGGCTTCTCTTCCAGTGGCCAAGTAGAAGTGCTGCCCTGGTTTGCTCCTATCTTCTTTGTACTCTTGCTGACTGGTCTTCAGACCCTTGTCTCAGAGGTTGGACTAGTAGTGCCACCTTGAGCTGTGTGCTTCTTGCTCAGCACTACCCCTTATCTAGCCTAGGGGGTGTGTCAACTTATACATACATTTGCATGTATAAGTTATAGGCTAGAATAGGTGTGTGGTCTTAGAGAGTACCACCCAAATCTTGTATCTCCCTTGTTCTCTCTTCTTGCTAATTATTCTAGTATTCTAACAGAAAGTACACAGCGAGGAACACTGGAAACAGCGGGAAGGAAGGGCACGTGACTCTGGGTTGCGCATCCTGGCCGAGTTGCGCAACTCGCTTGGAATCGCCAAGCAACTCGACTTGCGCATATCAGGGCGTGGTACACCTCATATCACGAGTATGTCTTCAAACGGAAATTCGAATAGCTGATGCGGTTGCAGACGTTTAGATTGTTTCAACGCGATCAAGTGCACTCTAAACGGAAAAAAAAAAATCGAGTTAAATTCGCGACCTCACTTGATGTGATGTGTCTCAAATAGTTAGGTT